GAAAGCCGAGAATGACATAGAGGGATGAGAGCAATAGCCCATTAGCACTTATGGATTAGCTGCCTCCGTTTCCCAGGCCCCGCTGCAGCCTTGCAGATGTGCAGCTCTGACCAGCAGCAGCCGGCAGCGGTCAGGTCTTAATTAACGAGCAGACATCAGATCAATAAGTGAGGAACGATGGAGGGGGAGACGTGAAAGGTGGGACAGCCTGCACGGTTCAAGGTTTTTGTTTTTCATTTATGTGGAATAACATTAGAAATCAATAGCACGGGAAGCCCCGCCACACACAACTCAGATTAGGTAAAAAAACTCCTCCTTCTACCATTTCCTCATGTGTTCTTTTACCCATAACTTTTGTATCAAACAATGTTATTGTAGTGGAAGATTTGTTGAGTATTTCAAAGCAATATAAGCCTGAGCCTTGTGAAGTCAGTTTTATAAACTTGTGCTCTGTAACAATCCTTCGGTTATTAAAGGAGGAATCTACTCTGGCTCTTTTTAGCTGTCATGTGTGGGATCTTAAGCTTTGCAGGATTCATTTCTGAATGAAATGTTATTTACTTTTATTGCTGTGTCTGCTTTGCTTCAACCTGCCTACAGCTCTTAATTTTGGAGATTTCATTTTGTTTCTTGCAAACTTTTTCACGGAGGACATTTTGACTTCTCACAGTTGGAAAAACACAGCTGTAAAAACAGGCATTAATCAGTTCAGATTCCTGGTATGTTGCATGCTGGGTCTCTGTCAATCATACTTGAACACTTGAATAGAACAAAGCCATTATTAGTAACACCTGCGCTTTTCCTATTTTGACAAGTCTGCTGTGAGATAGGCATAAGGCTTTCAATACCCTACAGGTAATAAGCAGACTTAATTAAAGATTTGCACGCACAACTTTGGTATCTATTTACAGAAGGGTTGAGGAAAGACTTAGAAAATGGTAGATACATGCTCAAGGTATGGTGGATGTATTGTTGATGAAAGCAGTTCAGTCTTTATAGTTCATGGTCAGGTTTCTCGTTATAGCACTATAGCAACTCTTAATGGATGTAGCACAATGTTTTTCATTGATCGCCATATGTGCATGGCTTTATTTACTGTGAAAGAGAGCAGGGGTTGCAGTAAGCAGAAGGTCTGCAGTGGAAATGGCTTTGTATTGCTAGATGTGTCTTACTGAAAAGGAGAAGAAAGAGTGTGATTGTTCATTGTCTCCGGTTTGAAAATTCTCACGTCCTTACTTTCTGTCTGACTGCATAAAGGGCTCACTACTTCCTTCATTTGTACTGACTGTTGGTATTAAACTTAAATCCCAAGGTGCAGAATTATCCCAAATGAATTGTATTGCTTGGATATTGGTGGACAAAGTGGTATATCCTCCTCCATGTTGAAGATGTTTTAAGTTGCTGAATGTTTTATGCAATGAATCTGTATTTTCTGTCTCAACAAACTGTTAAAATATGAAACCATCAGAAGTAATTGGCAAAATAATCCTTGAAATAACCCAGTGCATTGTTATCAGGTAGACTTAACCTGTTTAGCCCGAGAGCCTCCGGTACCGGGGGCTCCCGCAACATCTTGCAAAAAACAGCGTCTGACGGCTTCTTAATATTTAAAAACCTATGAATGTCTTATACTCAAATAACGGGAAAAAACTCAGCTACTTGACGATATGAGCCATTTTTACCGAAACAAAACACAAGTCTCACAAGAAGCGTTAGCATTAGCCCTTAGTGAAAACAGGCTGATGCTAACTAGCAAAAACGATCTTTAAAGGGACATCATTTTTTGTTCTTAGTATTTTTTTTGTCCTTCATTTCCCCCCCCCAAAATTAAGGACTTTTTCATTTGTAACACATTTTTGTATTCTGTTTTTGGTAATCGTGGTATATACATTTTACTTTTGTCATTTTCTGAAGTATTGCAAATAGTTCAAAACCATTCACATATAGTTTTAGAAACATCATTTGTTATCCCTATACATTCACAGCTGTGACATTCACACACATGTCTGTAGGTTACTTGACATCGGGAACTGTCAGCAGTGTAAGAGTGAAAGTTAATCAGCGTTTGTGTTGGGTATTCGGGCAATTCACGGACAGGATGGCCACTCTGTGATAAGGCTTTCACATTTGGTTGTAGCCGGAAGGCTGGTGGGAGCTCTAATCAGTCTCCTCCCCCCCCCCCACACCAGTCTCAATCACCCTCTTTCAAGTGAGTTACTGATCCATCTCTGGACACAATTCGTATGTTTATTTTTATTTTCTCTCTCACTGCAAACTTTCTGTGGAAAATTGAATTTGATACCTGGGGGCAGGATGCAAACATTGGGCAAAATAGCTTATTTCCCTCCCATCCAACCTTTTGCCACTCTTTCTAATGAATAGCAATATACAATATCTGTGGGAGATGTTATTCTGTGCTCGGTAGGAAGCCCTGCAGTTTAGAACTCATCAATTCATGTTTACAGTAGATGTGGAAGAGTGTGTCTGACTGCAGAACATGTAAATCTCTCTGATAGGCCTGAATTGCAAATATCCCACCATTATGAAAAAGTTGTGAGTTATGTGAACAAAGATATCAAACATGATTAAGTGCTGTATCATGTTTCTGGCCGTTATTAAAGCTCATGTTAGCTGAATTATGTATTGGGGCTTTACAACCAGCATACTACAACAAAATACTACAGATATCTTACAATGTGTGTTGTTTAAAGCTTTTGCTGCAGCTTACTCAAAAAGGAAACCTCATTGATTTCAACATAAATCTACTCGTTATAAAACAGGGCAAAGCTACATTTGGAAACATGGCCCGGCAATTCTGAATTCTCCACGTTTCACTGATGTGTCTCTGATGATTACCATTTAATCAGCTGCAAATGCTCTTAATTACAAGATTAGTCTCCTACCAATTAGCCAACGTGCTAATGGTTCTGATCTGCCATTGAAGTCGGCTGAATTCTAATTGGGGAGTAACTGTTTCAATTCACAGAGGGCCCATCTGATGGGTCATTACCAATAGTTATCCTCATTTAAACCAAATGCAGCAAGCAACACCGGCCCCATTTGGAGAGCAGCTGTAGAGGCTTTATGAGCATCATGTGGGCCATTTTCATGCATCATGAAATGACAATGTTTCCATTCCCTGAAAATCACAGAGGCATTCTGATGACTCACTAATGGATATATTATACGATGCTACATCACAAGCTGTGTAAATGACATATGCAGAGGAGGTCTTCCTAATTTTACTGAAAATGTAGGTTTTCAAATTGGAAAAGAACATTTTAACTTTTTAAGTGGAGAGGAAGGAGTATGTAAAGTAAAATGAATATAATTGTTTCATAACTGCATTTAGTTTATATCAACATTAGATCAAAAATAGTATTAGTCTTGTTAAGGGGGACTGTCAAAAAAAGAAATCAACAACTCTGCAGTCTCTCCTAGCTGTTTGGGTTTTTGGACCTTCAAAACTAGGCCCTTATTGAGCATCTTATGAAACCACAGCACTCTACCTGCTCAGCACCAAAGGGCAGACGGACACAGTTTGCAACTATCTAATGAATAAAGTGGCTCAGCTAAAAAGTTGGATCTTTCCCTCTAGAGACCAAAACACAAAAAAACATGTTCTCCCTGCACGTATGGGCTTTAGAGATAAAACTAGTGGCATTAAGAGTCCCTTTCTAAAATACAGTTTCTCATTCAAATCCATGCTGAAGAACACAAAAAGTTAGGGACATTTCACTTTAAAGACCACTTAAATCCTCATATAATTGGCAATAAACTCTCTAGTCCCACTTAAATCACATAGTCTTTTCTCGCCAGTAGATCTGCCTTTAGCTAATTTAAACATTACAATAACTGTGAAAACAGATCCTTGGCTTTCGGTTGAATTCTCCTGTACGCTGTAGTTGTTTTTCATCAGTCATTAAACACTTCACTTTGGATGTTTTATATCGTTCATGTAATGTATGCCTACCAGCTTTTCTCTGCGTTAATGTGAAATCTGTCCTCTCTTTCCCTTAGTTTTAAAAGTGAACTGAATTGGTTTATTTGGACTTAAAGAAAAACAGTTTTGCTCTTTTTATCATAATTCTCTTTTTTACACATTTTGAAATCCTCCAAAAGTCATTGTTATCAAAGGAAAATATCTCTTTTGTAATGAAACATTTCAAGGCAGATAATTCAACCTGAGGTTTTTCAGCTCAAGATGTGCTACCTGGCCAAATAATCGTAATGTCATATTGAGGGATTATGCGATGTCTGTTGAATCTTGATGAGTGTCTGCAATAAAAAATGCAGAGGGACATGCATTAAAACTCTTCTCTTTGCCACGGCGCACAGGAGGTAATCTCAGCCCTCTGTCCTTGTCAAGTTAGGGTTGTAATAAGTAATTTAGGAGTGTCGAATTTAGCGGCTGCTCAGGCTGTTCCATTCTGCTTTTAGAAACTGTATTTTGGGCTTGGTTGAATTTACTCCAGGCCACTGCAACACGTTGGCTGCTCCGTGTTAACAAGTGCAAATTTTACAAAACATAGCCCGAAGGTATGGAGGCATTGAAGCGTCTTTTTGCACTTGTATCCGTTATGCAAAGTGTCAATTCGCTTAATTAGATTAAGTTATCCTCCTAGTTGAAATGTATTCATAGACACCAATTATCTCACTATATCCAATCCGGAGGACAACAGTAATTTAAAGGCGTTGATACAGACCTATTCACGTTTTAAACACGTTTCCCTAGACAAAGACTATTAAAAAAACAAAACCATCTAAGACTATTTTTACCACAGACGGGCTTGTTCCTGACAAATGTGCAACGAAGCGAAGTAACAACCTAACAAAAGCAATGAAGAACAAGACTGCTAACAAGGAAACGGGATGTTAAACATGTCCAGTTTAAAATATTCACAAATCAGCTTTATGAATGTTTGACTAGAAAGGATTTGAACCAACACATACCTTTTTAGACAAACAGTGGTTTTTGGTGGAATATAAATGGATCTTACCTGCCCTGCACCTTGATGTCAGAAATAGCGTAGAAGTATCTGGACAGGTTGTTCTCATCCACCATGGTGGCTCCAGTGGCTGCCTTTAGCAGCTTAATCCTCAGATCAGTGATGGTGAAGAAGTCCCGCAGGTTCTTGGTGGTATCCAGCTGGCCGTACAGCGAGGCCATGTTGTGTAGCCGAGGCCCGGCAAAGAGGGCAAAGCGGTCCTTTATCTCAAATCGTACCGTCTTGTCGTTCTTCCACACGTAGCCTCTGGAGTAGTCCTCAGTGCAGATGATATCCAGCAGAGTGCGCTGAGTGAGGTCTCCGACCGTCTTGGGCTCCATGGTGAAGGCGTCCAGGCAGTCTGTCGCGTAGAACTGGTACGGGGTCCAGGTCCGGCCGTAGTCCAGGGACTTTTCCAGGACCATCTGCTCAGGTCTGCCTGACTCAAAGGTCAGTACGATGTCATCAGTCAGCTCGACAGTTTTGTTCCATGACAGCGTGATGTTCACCTGGAGGGGCTTCGGGTATTTCTTCCATGAGGTGGACTGCCAAAACGTGGTGGGGTTGCGACCTTCAAAGTCAAACATCAGCTCTGGAGGATGAGCCAGCTCCTCAGTGGCAGCATCACATTCATTGTTGCACATGTAAGGATTCTCCTATAAAAAACAGAAATAGATACACACGTTAGTGCACGTTGAAATCAGGGTATACAAATGCATATTACATCATGTAAAATGTAATTTGAAAGATAGAGTTGTTATAAATCAAATTATTTTTAAATTTCAATACCCACAATGTCATTTGGAGACACAAGCTCATATGATATGAAGAGTATATTTTCATTACCGTAGCAATGCAATTGTTACTTGTTGACACTAGGCGTCTGGATTTGGTGCTTCTTATTTTATATAAATGAAATAAATTGGTATAACCGAAAGCATTTATTTTGTTGTCCTTTTATTATGCACAGAGGAAATAATTATCCAAATCCAAGGGTGTGTGATTTCAAGAATTCAACAAATACACAAAAGGCAGACCCCTTGAAGATAAAACTAATTGAATAAGTTAAACCTACAGTAATTATACCTGAGAGCCAGTTCATAATATGTATCTTAAAAAGGTAGGAATAATACACACTTTCTTAGACTTCTTGACTTTCTTGTTGACTGTTGGGATTAAATCTAAATACTCTGGAGTAACTCTACGGCGCTTCTGCACATGACAAATGAATAAAAAACTAGGGACAAACTACGCTCTGTAGTTTGAATAAGGGAGGTTATGCAATTGAAATGTAAAAATGTAGTTAAATATTTAGTTTTGCATAAAATATTCAGAGTAAAAGTGGAGTCCTCATACACTTGTTAATTATAAAGTCACTGTAGTAGTCCCACCATCACGATTATAAACCCCAAAGCATCTCTCAGGCCGGCTGTTGCGTCAAAAGGTTATTTTATTTTCCAGTTCCTCGTTGGCTTGCCATCCTTTCACCATTCCCCCACCGTACTCAATAGCCCTTCTAACACATTCAAGCCCCCCTGTATTTTATAATCCGCAAAAGCCATAGTGGCCCGAGAGCTATAGGAGACAGTGACCCTCTCATTACGATGACACTGTAGATCGCATATTCTCGTTCAGCGCCAGTCCTGCCTACACTGCCACCCAAATAGCCAGTGTAATTGATATTCCTGTGTGGTGTTCCAGCGGAGATGGGAACGGAATCCCGATGAGTGCTTCTTATGAAACACGCAAGGGGACATGCATTTTTCATGGGCCTGTGTCTGCTCTGTACCACAGACATCCACCCAGTCTGGATGTTTGTGTGAGCGTGTTAGTGGGGAGAAAGAGGAGCTCTTGATGTGTTTGTGTTTGTTAGCGAGAGGGATAGAGCGCTCTGAATGTGTTTGCTTGTGTGCGCACGAGGCTTGTATCCCTGTGTGTGAGTGTGTGTGCGTGTGTCAGTGTGAGTGAAAGGCAGATAGAGAGAGGGAGCTGAAACAGAGCCAGAAAGCAGAAGACACACTCCAATTGACATTCCTCTCACCTCTGCTCCAGGAACAATGAGGTTAAGTGCAGATGAGATTCAGATCAACTGTAAAGCGGTTCGATAATCAGCAATCATCTGACACTCTACACGCAAAATTATCTAAAGGTGAGAACATTGCTATCTGCCATATTACTCCCTTATCTCTCCAGTGTTGCGGCGCATTCGACGGAGCCTGCCACTTTGTAGAGTGAAGATCACTGGAAGGAATACTGATAAGCAGACGCCATTATATTTTATTTAAAAGGCCGATGACTGCTTTTTGTCTTTGTAGTAAGAACTTCCCTCGCAAAGAAAAAAACGCTTTATCGTCACAGTTAGATGTGTGTATGACTTTTTAGATACAGATCTTCTCAGTGAATTGTATTTCCTGTGGTACTGTGATATTCTTTCAGCTCCTCTGCTACAGTAGAAGAGATAACTCTGGCATGAGGTAGAACAAGACAGAGGGATTGTGGGTCACTTGGCCTGCTCAGCTAACTCAAAGGAGCGTTGCATGATCCAGTTAGGAGGGTAATAAGGGTTATGCTGCTAAGATAGAGAGTGAGAGCATAACAGAGAGTGGGAGGGAGAGACAATGTAAAACATGTACACCTTTTTGTGTTTTCAGGAAGTAGACCTGCCGTTGCTGCACATCCACACACATGCAAAGCTAACGTGAAACTTGAAAGGCAACACAAGATGCAGAAACACAGAGGAAGAGAGATCTGAAAGAGAATATAGGGGCTGCTTGAGTTTGGCCACCGGGACATTCAATTATACGAATGTTAACTGTTTGCCAATAACGTGTGCTGAGGCTCGTTGAATTCCCCACTTTAGCTCGAACTGCCTTGGAGGTTTGCTCAGACGACGACGGTACACGAAGAGTGCAGGAGGGAGGGAGAGAAACAAAGACAGTGTGAGACGGAAATTGATTTCCCTGTTGTCATTCAGAAGCATGAGTTTTCACTTTTTCATTTTTCTATTTGTTTCATTTGTTGTCACAGTTAGGCCTGGGACCAGCGGGGCGGCTGCCTTTGCAACTTTCCGAAATGGGAGCCTTATTCACAGGCGATATGAAGAACTCAAACCGCAACGTCCGTGGCTAATGAGAAAAACAGTTTCCTGACTGAGTGAATAGAGGCTCTGAAAAGAGAGACATTTGCTTCATCACGCTAGCATAACAAAAAGAAGTGTTCAGAGACCAGAGGAAAGCAAGTCATAAATTCAATCCATAATCATTCTCTCGACTTCAGGCCTTCAGGGAAGTGATCATTCTCTCCGTTCACATATGGGAACTGGCTGGGGACAAACCTTTCATGAAAGCACCCTCTATCATTAATACCACTCTAATGTGAAGGCCATAGCGTAATCTAACATTAAGTGGCATCGGTATTTACTCTCTCCCAGTAAAGCCCACCATACCGGAACGATTTCATACAACCCAGTGAAGGTGGAAGGGTAGGGACTTAGCCAAAGGTCAGGACCTTTCATCGGATTTCCTGCAGTGGTTATTTAACAACAAAAACATTTCCTTATGAAGATCAATACCTTCTGTGGTCATTTAAGTCCCAAGGCTTCTGTACTCTGCTGTGGGGTAGCTATTGGAAAACAATAAGTCCTCCTCTCAGCTTGATCCTTTAGCTGTAATCATGACTGTGGGAGAGGGAAATAGTCTGCAGAGAATTAGAGATGAACAAGAGTTTTGTACCAAAATGAGATATCGACCAATTGGAAAATGTGACCTTCCCTTAAAAAAAAATTGCTGCCGTGAAAGTATAATTTAGTATGGATTATTGTCAGGTTGAAGGTTTTGTAACTTAAAAAAAGCTATATTGACGATGTAGTGATTGAGAAGTAAATCATCTGTATGTCGGAAAGTTTTTAATTTTGATGTTTTGATTAAATCACCGTCTTCCAGGCCTTCTCTCGTACATTTGATTGAATTATTAATTCTCATAGAATATCATAACACAGTAATACTAGACTTGGCTAACTGTGTTATTGTGATTATTATACCATGCTAATTTATACAATTATTATGCAGTGTCTCTAATAAGCTTGTATTCATCATAATATAATATTTGTATTATTATAATTGTATTATTTTGTTCTGAATACAAATTTAAAACATCATAGCAGTCAGATAGCCTCCCTTAATCCACACCTTTGACATTACATACAGGGCTGCAAGGGCTTCTAATGGGGTCTGTCTCTACTTGATATTGCTGACATCTCTATTGCCACCATGGCTGCTGTGTAACGGAGCCCAGCTGGTTTCTATCAGTGCTATATGATCTGTCCGGGGGCAGGGGCTCAGTGGAGGAGGCCTCAGCAGCGAGGCTGCGGCTGGGCGCACAGCTAATGATGTCCCGATCTCTACAGCCTATAAGGTCAATCCAATATCAGGGTGTCACACAGTAGGAGAGCAAGAAAAGAGAAAGAGAGAGAGAAACACAGACCTGAGATGGGAATGTGCATTCAAATGTCATTCACTGGGAAAAAAGCATTCAAGTGTGCACATAATCATTAGAGCTCAGTGGATATTAAATCTAATTGCATGGTTGTGTTTAAATGAAAAACGCCACAGGACAGAATATATTCTTTGCACAACAAATGTATGATAAAATCTTCTAAGTATTGACACAAAAATACGTTGTTGGATTTTTTGTCTCTACTAAATGGGCTGCACTGACAACATCTGCAATTTTGCAAATACCCACATGCTTCAAACATCAATGCAAACACTACACACACACACAGGCACACAGACACACAGACACACACACACGTACACATGATGGTGCGATGCGAGGCAGATGTTTAAATGAGTGACATATGGCCTGTGAGATTGACAAAGCGTAGCCTATCGTTGATGTGTCTTTTGACACAGGATGTGGCTCGGCAGATAAATTCTCTGGCCAGCGACAGCTCCAGTTGAAGGATGGGAGCAGGCAATCCAACCAATCAGTTTAGTTGACAGATTTCTGGACTTGAAGCTCAGATCACGGATTTAACTCACGGCAGTTTTCCACTTGCCATATCCTTTAAATCGAGCTTTTTATTTCACCTTTTTGACATTTTTAAGTTTGATGTGTCCTCACTGCTTTGTTTTTCTGTAAATCATTCTGAGACACACATTTCTGCACAGAATATGATTTTTTAAAATTCATTTAGCTCTATTTGGCAAATTCCCCCTTATTGGAAAAAATTAATATTGGGCTATCAGTCACAGTCTCGGGGGAAATTTATTTTGGGTATGAACAAAGGTCCACAGTATGAAATAGGTTCATTCATCACATACATTGATAAGCAGTTTAGTCAAAAGGCACAAACATGGAAAAGTATGATAATGATTATTGTAAAAAAAAATCTATTTGTCAATTGTGGGTCAATCGAAATGATGACTTATTCAATTTTGTTTATTTCCCACCAGAGTTACCATTGACCTTCTTGCTTTTTATTAAAAAAAAATGACACATACACACTGCACATTCATTCCGTACATGCATGCAAACATGGAATACCGTATACATGGATGACATGTTTAATATTAGAGTTATTGGAGGCAATAAATACAAGCCGTCACATGATCAGAAAGGTTATCCAGATTATCTAAACGACTTTGTCTGCTAA